CCTTCAAGAGGTGGAGCTTAACTTCTTCTCCCCTTAAGTGTGAGCTGGGCATAGTGACTTGCTTCTAACAAATAAATATGGAGAAGTGATGATAATGGCATCTTATACTTGGACATAAAAGGTCTCCTCTTTCTCTCTTGGAAAATTCATTCTGTGGAAACTGTCTGATCATGAAGCCACTCAAGCAGCTCGTTGGAGACAAACTGAGGCCCTTGCCAGCAACCATGTAAGTAAGCTGTTTTAGAAACTGAGTTTCTAGCCCCAAGTGAATCCCTGAGATAATTGTAAATCCAGACTACATCTTAACCAGAGCCTCAGCCAGATCATACAGCTAATCCACTCTCAAATTCCTACCCAAAAAACTATGAGACAATCATAATATCGATAATAAAAGTCCAAGAGGCATCACGACCAAAACGACCAACTACCGCTCACCATGAATGCATGGATCACCTCTCAATCTCTCCCCCAAAGCCCACAGGCTCCAACTGCAGCAAGGCTGGTGGCTGGCAGGCAGATGGTGAGGTGGGCGCAGCGAGGCAGGTGCCATGAGGCAAGTGCTGGTGGGCAGGGCTGCGAGTGCAGTGGAATGGAGGGCCAGTGGGCAGGGCGTGCATGGATGGGCGGGGTTGCACAATTTGGTGCGCTGGGGCCTCTAGTAAGTATATTTTTTTTTAAGCAGCTAAACTTATGGATAATTTGTTACACAGCAATGGATAGCTAATACAGGGACTGTATAGATAGTAAACAATTTATGGCTAATATTGTTATTTATTTCAGATGAACTTGAAAACATGTCACATAAGATGTATCAGAAATCTCCCTTGGCTCTTTGATCCAAATTGGCCTAAATATTTATTTATGAGTAGTTTGCAGTTATTTGGAAAAAAGTATTAATTTAATTTTAAGTGGTGAGCAACTTATGTTTTTATTACGTGGGTATGTAGATATACACATTTTATGCTGGTTTTACAAATTAATGATCTCTACAAGAGACAATATCCCTGTCTTCTAAAATTAAAATCACCCACATTTATTTGTTTACAGTTTCACATGTATAATTAAAACTTGGGAAAACATTTGAAATGAAGTAATCAATTTTTATTGCTTTCATTAGAACATTTTGTTTGTCAGCCTTGGGAATGGACTTTATACTTTGTTGGTTTTCATCCTTTCATTAAATCATCTTTGTAATTTTCTTTATCTTTTTTCTACTCAGAAAAATTCTACTTTTTAATTTAGACTTATAGAGTATGTTTAAAAATAATTTCAAATTGTACCTTTAAAAAATTAGATTATAAATACACAAAAAATTAGACCAATCATATTCTGTGGTTGATGGCCTACTATCAACACTACCCCCTCTTTCTCTTTCAAAATTAACTTGTTACCTGGCTGGCATGGCTCAGTGGTTGAGGGTCAGACCATGAACCAAGACGTCAATGAACCACGACATCAACAGTTCCATTTCTGGTCAGGGCACATGCCTGGGTTTCAGTCTTTTTTTTTTTTTTTTTTTTTTTTTTTTTTTTTTAATATATTTTTACTGATTTCAGGGAGGGAGGGAGAGGGAGAGAGAGACAGAAACATCAATGATGAGAGAGAATCTTTGATCGGCTGTCTCCTGCATGCCCCTCACTGGGAATTGAGCCCACAACCCTGGCGTGTGCCCTTTACCAGAATTGAACTGGGACCCTTAGGTCCACAAACCAATGCTCTATCCACTGAGCCAAACCAGCTAAGGCTGGGGTTTCAGTGTTGATCCCCAGTAGGAGACAGCTGATTAATGTTTCTATCTCCATCTCCCTCCCTTCTTCTCTAAAATAAATAAAACATTTTAAAAATTAACTTGTCACTTTTTTGCTTTCTATTTTTTTTCAGTTACAGTTTACATTCAGTATTATTTTGTATTAGTTTCGGATGTACAGCATAGTGTTTAGACAATCATATACTTTACAATAACTTCAGTCACTTTTAATGCTCCATCTCTACCCCCCAGTTTCTTCCCTGCTCAAACCCCACATTCAAAGATTCTACTTGAATTAATTTGAGATGAGGCCTGGGCCTCATTATTTTTAAGAATTTGTCCCGGTGGTTCTAATATGCAACCAAGTTGAGAACTAGTGTGTGGTAGACACTGTCTATTCAAAAGTGATCTTAAAATAGCAGCATTGACTTCAACTGGGAGTTTGTTACACATGCAGCATTTTAGTCCTCACCTCAAACCCAATCATTAGAATCTGCTTTTTAAACAAATCTCCAGGTGATTCGTAAGCACTTTAAAGTTTGAGAGGCACTGCTTTTGGGCTAGATTCAAAACATGACTCACTTATTAGCTATGTGACCTTGAATAAGTTACTCAGCCACCCTGTACCTCACATCCCTCATAAAGGGAGGACAGTAATAGTACCTACTACCTATAGGGTAGTTATGAGGATTTCATACAATATTGTACTAAAATGTTTAGAACAGTGCTTGACTCATAGTACGTGCACAACAAATGTTAGGTATTATTCATTACCATTTCTAGGCTTGAATATTAAACATTTGGTGGGAGTTGTTAAAATATATATTTTAAAATTTTTTCAGAGAACAGAATTTGAAGGCCCAGTCTCTTAGGAGTTAGTATTATCAAGTGAATTATTCACTTTGTGGTTTTAATCTCATAAAAAAAAATAATTTCAAAACTGAGAGTGATGTGTAGGATCCAGCTGCAAAAAATTCAAAATCAGCTACATGCAGCTGCACTCTGGTTCCCCTAATTCATCTAACAGCTTTTAGTGGGTTCTATAAGTGACAGGAGAAAAGGCACAGCAGATGTGCAAGATGGCTCCTGAAATCTAAAGTGGGGCAGATGGTTCTCTGGTTGATTGACAGATTCAGGAGCACTGCGGTAAGGGTCACCTCCTGTGTGTGGAGGATGGTGTGTGTGTGTGTGTGTGTGTGTGTGTGTGTGTGTGTGTCCCCGCCACCCACTGCACTCTGCCTGCAAATGAAACTATCATACAAGAAAGAAAAGCAGGGGTGGCTATTCAGAAGGTCTTTGTTTTCAAATATTCTCTGCGGTGAAAAGATTCTCAGCAAAAGAGAGTCACCTAAATGTGGGGAAAAAATCTCCTTCTCTAACCAACCAAAGAGTTGACTCTTTGCATAGTTACAACAAAGTAAACAGATTCATGTTTGAACACAATTCTCCTGATCCTGGAGATTGAGCTGAGATTAATGAAAGAACAAAGAACTAATGCAATTGGCATTTATCAACCCCCAACAGCATTGATTAACACTGAACTCTTTTGTCATTGGAAGCCCCATATTGCTCTTAAAAATAAAACTCCTTGTTTTAAACTTTAGTTAGAAGGTTAGACAACTATTTGTGGTTGCTGATCAGGAATTTACAATCTAGGCTACATCACCTGTATGCTTATCTCTCTATCGCTGTCTCTTCAACTTCCTTTCCAGTACTTCAGATCTCAAAGAAAAAAAAAACCTCATTTTTATTGCATGTAACGTAAGTGTTGGACCCTGTGCTAGGTGCTTTCTTAGAATGTTTTATGACTTAAAATCTCAGAGATATTAATTGACCCCTTTTAATACAGAGACATGCACCCTTCATTTTATTAATTCTTCTCTTCATCTCTTTTGCAGGGAAAACAAGCACTAACAAGCCCCAGGAAAATATATCCAAGCATAACTTCAGAGGTGCATGTGGCCTAAAAAGAAAGTATCAACTACAAAAGGCCAGACATGTCCAATTAACATGAAGACTGAGATGTGGGCCTGAGAAGACTGAGCCTCGGTCTGCACACTGAAAGGTCCCGGGTTCGATTCCGGTCAAGGGCATGTACCTTGGTTGCGGGCACATCCCCAGTAGGGGGTGTGCAAGAGGCAGCTGGTTGATGTTTCTCTCATCGATGTTTGTAGCTCTCTATCCCTTTCCCTTCCCCTCTACAAAAAAATAATAAAATATATATTTTTAAAAAGACTGAGATGTGGGGCTGCTCCCTGAGGCTATTCCCAGGAGTTGCGCCCATTCGGAGCCTCTGTCCTGTCGCCTGGTGTCTCCACCCTGTCAGCTGCCCTTTGCCATGCCTGCCATGTTCCAGAACATAAATATCTCCGGCAACCCCATGCATCCTTGCCCACAATGGGCAGCAACAGGCGCTTGGGCTGAATTTTCTGAGATTTAACCGCAGAGAAAAGCTGAATGTTGCCCGTGGTTCTCATCACCTGTGGAATACATGGCATGCCATAGGCTTTCCTTCCTACAAGCGACCTTCAGAGGACTTCAAAAAAGGTTCAAGCTGAGGCAACTGGCCTGGGAGCTCCGCCCAAAGCTCATCCCAAAGGCTGAGTGAATTAATGCTTACGGAACATTAGTGGAACACTAGCTGGGAAATGTGCCTTTTGCTATTAATTATCCCTTCTCATTTCCATATTCTCAACTCTTCTCCTTGACAATTACTGTCAACACTCTACTGGTACAGAATTAGGCCCTAGCCAGGTAGCTCAGTTGGTTAGAACACTGTCCTGATACCCTAATGCACATGTGTCAAACACAAGGCCCTCGGGCCAAATCCGTCCCGCCAGGCCTTGCAATGTGGCCCGCACCGCGCTGTCATCACTGCACTCCGCTGCGTTTCCATCACAATGACAGTTTATGACTGTTCAGTAAACCATTCGGCCCGCGATTTAGGCTGGATTTTAGATTTTGGCCCCTTCTCTGATTGAGTTCGACACCCCTACCCTAAGGTTTCATTTTCCATCTCCTGGTCAGGGTACATATAAGCATCAACCAATGAATGCATAAGTGAGTGGAAAAACAAAATAGATATTTCTCTCTCTTTCCTTCCCACTGTCTTTAAAATCAATCAATTAATGTTTTAAAAAAGACACTATGGAATTAAAAAACAAAACTATTCATTCCTTATTTTCCACTCAGTCTTCACTCTATGTCTTTCACCAAACAGCTAAACTTTTGTAAAGAATAGTCTATACTTGCCTTTTGCCTTATTGCTACAGAGACAGCGAGATGGGTCACCAGCAACTCTCCTGGAGCTATCTGAGGAAATTCGGCCAGGGTTCTCGTTCTTGCTGCGTCTGCTCAAAACGCCAGGGTCTGATCCGGAAATACGGTTTCAACATGTGCCACCAGTGTTTCCCTCAGTATGCCAAGGACATAGGCTTCATTACGTTGGACTAAGTAAACTTCCATGAACGGATCATTGAAGACATCTACCTTATGACAGAATGCTATCTCTTTGTACATAAAATTTAAAATAGTCTATACTTTTCACTACATTATTCCCATTCTTTTCTCAACCCATTATAATCTAAATTTTAATGAAACTACTTTTGCCAAAATTAAAAATAACTCTATTCAACGGATAGTTCTCAGTCCTTGTCAACATTGGCAATTCCTTATATGAATTAATGAGTACCATAAATAATTCCTTTATAATTAACTTTTTTGATGTCATATCTAACAAGTGGGCATTTCTTATGATTACATTCCATTAGATCTTAATTCAGTGAGGTATTTTGAAGAGAGTTGATTTAACGTAGGTAGATTGATTTCTAGTGATTTCACAGTTCAAGATTGAAGCACCAAAGGTCTAAATTGGCTCATAAATCCAGTAGCTTCTATCAAATGTGAATCAACTTCCAGTTTGTACCTTATTAATTTATGTCTAAATTCTTTGATTGTTGCATTGCCTAATTACTAATAGACTCACTACCTCTAAATGCCAGCACAGAAAATGAGTTTACCTTAAATGTTTAGGATCTTATTTGTTCCTGCAGAAAGATCACAATACCCTTTCATCAATATAAATCCAATTTATTAATTAACTTGGTTGCTAAGAAATATCTAGGCAACAGAAAATATACTCATCAGTATCTACCATATATCACATGTTAGGCCTGGCTCAGTAAATATAAAGAATAACTGAATTCTGGAATCTTATAATCTAGTCTGAGAGCAAAGAAAAGAACAAATTTTGCTTTGGCATAAAGCTCATACAATATGTCTTCTAATTTTCTTCTTATTTCTTCTCTTACAAAATTTACTCAACAAATTAAAGAAGTGTTTACTGATTTCATACTTTGTGCCAATCATTTTGATGTCAGACAGGCTTCTACTCTCTTGGCTTTTATTTTAGTTTGGAGGGGAGGGTTGGAGAGAGAGAAAGAGAGAGAATAAAACAAATAATTGTTTTAGATCAAGATAAGTGCTATGAAAATAAACAAGGTAACATGAAGACCGACTGGGTACTATTTTAATTGGGTGATCAGGGAAGGCCTATTTAATAAAGTGCCTCAGGTGACATCAGCTGCAACCGGAGACAAGAAGCCATGTGAACAGACAGAGGAAGAGTTCTCCAGGAAGGAAGAGAAATTGCAAAGGCCCTGAGCTGAGAACCAGCTGAGCAACAAAATGAATATTAATTACTAATATTGATTTTCTTGGGGATATACTTGGAGTGTGAAGATTTATAAGCCAAGGTCTCCGTCCTACAGGAGTTCTATAACGCAGATATGCATAAGCAGAAAGAACAGGATACAGAACCTAGTAGACATTGCAGTGACCAAAGTATGTACAAAGAGATGCTAAGGAGTGATTAATTCTCTGGGGGGTGTTTTTGAGAAGGTTTCACAAAGGAGATAATACAAAACCAGGATTTTGATATATGAATAGCGTTGACAAGGCAGGGAAGAGGGCTGGTGGAAGGGTGACAGGACAGCGGACAGGTGCAAGTGTGTTTCTTAATGATGGACGCTACAATAGAGACCCAGCCATGAAGGGCCTTATATTCTGTGCATGATGGGCACAACCAAAAGGCTCTAAGGAAGGAACCCCAGGGGGGAGCTTGTGCCTTAGATGGATCTCCATAGGCTCTCTCGCTTAAATCTGTGGGGAAACAAATTTGGAGCATTTCTAGGGGCAACGACAGAGATGAAATGAGGATGATGTCAGAGGCGCAGGAAAAGAGCTAAGAAATCGGGAGAGGATGTTAGCAGTGGATGCCACAAACGGGTAGGGCTAAGTCGCCAGTAATTTTCAGTATCTGGCTCACAGAAGGCACTCCATTACTTGTAGAATGAATAGAGGAATGCATGGCGGCTGGATGTGGCAGCATGATGTCTTATGAACAGAAGTCATCAGGCCCCCAGTCAAATACCAACTCTCCCATTCGTAGAGAGCGTTTGAGCGCTTAAGCTTCTTTTTTAGGCGTGCTGCTTTAACCCTAAAAACCCCACGAGGTAGGTGTGATCGCCATTTTCCAGAGGAGAAACACCTGAGGCTCAGACTAGACCTAGTCAAGGAACCAGATCCACAGCAGGCTGACAGCCAGCCAAGTGCGCATGCGTGACACTTGGCACGCCTCAGCCCGGAGGCTCAAAAAATGAAACGAATCGGGTCAAGTTTCAACACACAGAAAAAGCCTACGAGAAAGTCGGTAACTCTCGACCAGGGGATTAAGGGGGTTCCAGAACTTTCCTGCCGGCCGGTCACTAGAAGGTCAGAGCGCTGCGTCACAACGGCCTGAAGCCAAGCCACGACCCGCAACCCAGGAAGCGGGTGGAGGTGGAGGTGGGGGTAGGGATCAGGGGTGGGGGGCAGAGCGGGGCTCTCGTCCGGGGAGGAGGCGGGCGCAGCTGCGGGGCAGCTCGTGAGCGCCGCGGCCTGGGGAGCCCCGGGGCGGGCGGGATGGAACCGCGGCGCTGAAGGGCGCAGGCGCAGGCGCAGAAGCGTATTCCTGGGCTGCGCGCCTCGGACGCCGCGGGGAGGGTGACGTCCTTTCCCGGACGTTGGCAGTGCTTCCGGGTCACGGTCACTGGGAGCCCTTATCTGGGTGACTCTTTGGCTGCCCAGCCGCCGTCCGCTCCCCACCCCCCCGCTCCGTGTCTCGTCCTCTCCGGGCCTCCTGCCTCCGCCCGCCCGGGCTCGCCGCGCCCTAGTCCGGGGCTGTCATCCGAGGTGGGTGAGGTGCCGCGGGGAGTCCTGTCCTGCCCCCCGCCCGCCCGCCCACTCACCATCTCCCACTCACCATCTCCCACTCACCACCACCGCTGCGCGGCCCGCGGCTCCCCTGCACCTTCCGCCATTTTCCCGCCTGCGAGGGCGGCCCGATCGCACTGAGGGTCTCGGGCTCCTGAGTGCTGGTGACCGGGGAAGGGAGGGGGAGTGTTTGGGGGGGTGTGTGTGTGTGTGGATGGATGGGGCAGATTCAGGGTGACCGATGTGTGTGTGTGTGTGTGTGTTGGGGAGGAGAGGGGGGCGCTTGTTGCTGGTGGAGATGCAGATGCCGTGGGGGTTGGGGGTGGAGTGCGGGAGTCGATAGGACGACATGGGTTCAGCTCAGTTCTTTGTTTTTGTTTTTCCTTTGGAATGGAAGAGATGAAAGGGAGGTGGTCCAAAGAGGCCCTGTAGGCCTTGGCAGTCTCCTTCTAGGCTCTACGTAGGATGCCGTCTGAGAAAGAAGAGGGTTTCATGCCTTCTTTCGTAGTTGTTTTGGGGTAGGAATAATAGCTTATTCAGGGAGCTCCATCCGTGAATCCATCTTCCCTGCTCCGCTCCCGTTCCTTAGCGGAGGGATGGGTTATGTCGTGGACCTCAGCGAGGGCCTGTTGACTGCGTGAATTATGGAAGGGCCCTCATTTCTCTCCTCATCGTGTATGCCGTTCCCCTATGTAAACAGTTTTTAAGGTGGGGATAATCACGCAATGTGGACATTATGTAAATTACGAACGATTTCATCTGTTGGTCTCGTAAGTCCCCAGGGATGGGTTAAAAAAAAAAAAAAAAAGCATGTTCTTGAAGTGCTAAGCATTGTTATATGTCGTATTTTTCTCTCTCTCTATTTGGAGAGGGACGAAAGCTTGGAGGACACAGAATTTGGTATTAGCTTTGCATCCCTGGGAGGATGTGACGTCATTGTTATTCCCTGTTGGGGGAGGACTGCTTTGTGAGATACGTGTGTTTCCTGATGATTATTTTGTCTTTTTAAAATGGAATTGCAGTGCGCCAACCGGTTTGGCTCAGTGTATAGAGAGAGCGTCGGCCTGCGGACTGAAAAGTCCCAGGTTCGATTCTGGTCAAGGCATGGACCTTGGTTGCGGGCACATCCCCAGTAGGGGGGGTGTAGGAGGCACCTGATAGATGTTTCTCTCTCATGGATGTTTCTAATTCTCTATCCCTCTCCCTTCCTCGCTGTAGAAAAAAATATCTATAAAGTATATTTAAAAAATAAAAATGTAAGTGCAGAAATGACTTGAAAAATTTCCTCCTCTATTTTGGGGAATTATTCAAATCTTGGGCAAATATTTCTGAAAGTATCCAAAGCTAGGATAATGTGAAATCTACCAGCTTCAGGAAGAAAAATATCTGTTGATATCCTTTAATATCTTAATGATATCAGCTGATAAATACTGTAAATCATATTCTTTTTCAGTTAAGTATCCTAAGATGAGTAATCATTTCCAATTAGTTAATAGGTGTGTGATTTAAAAAAAAAACATTTTTTGTTTGTTTGTTTCAGAGAGGCAGAGAGAGGGGAAGGGAGTCAGAAATAGCCATGATGAGAGAGAATCATTGATTGGCTACATTCTGCACATTCCCCACTGGGGATGGAGCTGGAAACCCGGACATGTGCCCTGACCGGGAGGATTCCAACTGGGATCTGGTTCATAGGTCCATGCAACCACTGAGACATGCCAGCCACGCTGTGCGCTTTTTTTTTTTTTTTTTTTTTTTTTAGGTAACTTTTTATTATGTCAGGTGCTTCAGATGTAATAGTGTTTAGTAAATAGTTGTTGATTGCCATGAAGACTAGTAATGTTACTTGATTATATCCTGACTTACTTTGACCTATCTTCATTATTGTTTCTAATACTTAATATAAATATTTTTTATGCAGGAAAGATGAATGGCAGGGCTGATTTTCGAGAGCCGAATGCTGAAGTTGCAAGACCAATTCCCCGTAACTATCAATTAAGTATTTATTAGAAGCACTTTATACATAGAGAAATTTTCACTGCCTTGACTAACGGTATACACAGCTGGACTAACATTATGGATGTGTGACCTGTGCAGTCACACAAAGATAGACCCACACTTGAAGTTGAAATTCTTAATAATTTGAACAAGATGTTTCATTTTCATTTTGCATTGAACATAGCACTTTATATATACAGTTCTAACTAGCAGATAGTATCATTGACTTCTGTTTGAAGTCAGAGTTTGTTAAAAGTTAATAACAAGCCTGTTGTTTCATTTTGA